CTCCCTGCAGAAGTCGCTGAGCACCGCCTGTTACTTCACCATTTAACATGCAGATGTCTGAGCCAGGAATTCACTGAAGGTGATAGATTCACACTGCACTTTTTTGGCTCTCACAAAAGTAAAATCATTTATTTTTATATATAACTTGCCTCTGCTTTCCCTTGACAGAGATTAGAGAAATAAGCAAAAGGCATCAATCAATCCTGAGCACGTATTGATTACCTGCCATGGACCAGGGAGTTATCTGGATCCTGGAGTCAGAGAATGAGTTGCCTGCCAGCAAAGACCATAGACCCTGGCAGAAGGACAACAAAGATGTACCCGGTCAATCAATGATCGCCCACTGAACAGCACATGGGGAAGGTGCTGTGCCGAGAACTCAGAGATGGACAAATGACAGACAGACCCTTCAGACTTTCAGTCTGTAAAGAGGGGAAGCCAGCCTGGAATGAGAGGTGTGATAAACACAGGGAGGTAACAGGAGCTGTATAGGGAAGCCGGCTAAGATATAAAATGCCTTAGGAACAGCCAGTTGTAGGTCAGTAACGCTGACCTTTCAGAACTATGTAGTGTCATACAACTGTTGATCAAAAACAGAAAGCCAGTTAAACAGGGCTTTTTAGAGAAACAAAGAGCAAGATTATGAATTCTTCATCGTTTTACTAGACTTAACCCTGCGTGCTGGCATTTCGAGTAATTGTGTTAGTTATCTATCACTGTGTAACAAAGAACCCCAGAAGTGACTGGCCTAAAACAGCACTATGTTTACTTACAATTTTGGGGGGCCAGGCTCAGCTGAAAAGCTCTTTTGCTTGTCTCATCTGACGTTATTCATGCGGCTGTTCAACCAGCCGGTTCATCCAGCAGGACCTCAACTGGAAAAAGGTCTCCTCTCAACCCCACGTGGTCTCAGCCTTCACGAGGCAATCCCCCACTCCCTCACAGAGACACTACATTCTACAGGAGAAGAGGAAGCTAGGAGAGATTGTCACAAATGTCATTTACTCCACATTCTTTCGGTCAAAACCTGTCATGAGGCCAGTCTAGGTAAATAAATGGGATAAAAGACTCTACCTCTTAAAAAATAGACAGGAAAACCATGTGTCTGACAGAGGTGTGTGTACCGGAAAAGGAGGGGTGTGTGCAGCCATCAAGCAACAGTATCTTAACACTTAGGTCTCCAAATATCTAACTTTCACAACATCTGAAAGATTCCTTCCTTTCACTTCTCAGTTGTCACAGTGTAAATATTCCCAATTTCATACAGAAATCTCTAAACATGCTAGTTTTACCAATAAACATGTTTATGTAGCACCTGCATTAATAACTTAACTTTTTTTTTACTTCACAGGCGAAGTACGATATCCTTCACATGTGAGTTACTAAAGTGGATTATGACGGTAAGAATAAGCGCGCTCCTTGTGCCAAAACTACTCCCGGGAATAGGGCCAGCGTTTGAAGACTTCTGATTAACAGAACACTTTTTTGTATTCGACGTTAATTTTAAAGGCCTCCGTTAAAAGTACAAATCCTACACAATCAAGCTGAAATAACGTACAAAAACGTGTCACTTTTCATGGAAACCCGCCTCTCAATGCATCCCCTCCTCTAGACACTTGAAGGTAAATGACCATGAAAAAAACAAGGAGTAACTGTGATTTTTATAGTACAACATGCAGGCTTTGTTTCCTTGACAAGAGGGCTAGAGAGAGGACGACACTGGAATGAGGTTTTCTTAATCTCCTAATTAAAGACAGTGTGTTTTGCTTTTGTTGTAACTCAGACAGACTCTATTTCCAGCCTAGTGACTTTCCCTTACTGTTGAACAGGAGATGGCTGCCTCAAAAATAAACTTCTAACGCGCTTCCAAGGGAATTTGATTACCACTGTTCCTGCCAGAAAAGAGGGAAAGCCCAGGCGACGCGCTCAAATCTCCACGAGCAGCAGCTGTCTGGATGGCATCCCGTCACTTCATGATTTTCACGGACAGAACTTCGCTGCTCTCACCGACCACAAGGTCACCGGCAAGGTTCTGAGACAGCCTTCTCTGAGTTCGCCTGGCAGACTGAGGCGGTTTTTCTACCCTGTGATTGATTGCAGCATTACCTAGATATTCTTAGTCCAAGCTCCCGCGTGAAAGTCTTGAATAATTTGTAACTCCTGCCATGAGCTCAGTGCCTGATTTATTGCGCCTCATTATTGCAGCTGCCTGTCTGTGTGCAGAGGCAACAGGTAGTGAGGGCACACAGAGCGCGGGCGAGGAGACAGTCACCGCCCCCACCCGCGGCCTGAGCAAGACAGACGAGGTGATTAGAATCTACATTACGAAGCTCCACACTCAACACAGACGCTGTCCTGTCAGGGCCTGAGTCGGGGTGGGCTTAACCAACCCCTTCACCCCACCTTTCCCGAAGCTTCTCCCTTTCCTTCATGACATTCATCGTACCTGTGTCCTCACCAAACACGAGCCCCGCAGTGAAATTATCCCGTCTTGTCCTGCTGCAAACATCCCCATTTTGAATTGAACTGAATACAAGAAACCATCCAAAACAATACAAGCACGCAAGTGTCCAAGACTTGTATTTAAACCGAGGAAGAAAACAGCCAGCATTCGTTCAGAATTATCTGTGAAGCATTTCTCACAAAACAACGTAGGCTTCTAGTTCACAGCGTAATTGCTCCTGCTTTTGAGCTACTTGTGTCATTGTCACTAATCGACTCTCTTTATGTGTGAAAGATCCCCAAACGTTCTCCTTTATCACATTTTTACTCCATTTAAGAATAGCCTTCTAATATGAAAACGAATATATGTATGTATACGTATGGCTGAACTGCTGTGCTGTATGTACACCAGAAACTGACACAACATTGGCAACTGACTGCACTCAATTAACAACAAACGAACAAAACAGAATAGCCATTCCCACAACACTTGCAAAGAGATTTCTCCTTTGAATTGTACACTTGAAATGGATTAATTGCATGGTATGTTGATTAAATGCCAAAAACGCCTCAGAGAGACAGAGTCCTGCCTGCCATGTTTTATCTCAGGGCTATTGAACTCTGATTCTCAGAAAGAGGTGGTTAACCCTCTCCAGGTGCGCAGGAACACACGTGCCTACAGAAGCTGGGGAGGTCGGCTCTGTAATTATCTTAAATTCTTATCTTAAAATCCAATGATAAATGTGGTAGATCACCCATTACGTACTAAATGGTTACATACTCCCCAAATCCGTATGTTGAGACCCTAACCCCAAAAGCGATGCTATTTGGTGCTGGGCCTGTAAGAGGTCATTAAGTTTAGATGAGGTCATCAGGGTGGGGCCCATGCTAGGATTAGCGCCCTTGCAAGAGACTAGTGCTCGCTTACTCTCTCCCCCTGCGTAAGGACACAGCGAGAAGGCGGCTATCTGCAACCCAGGAAGAGGGCCCCCAAGGAACTAGGACTGCCAACACCTGATCCCAAACCTCCAGGCTCCAGCATCAGGAGAAAGACGTCTGTTCTTGAGGCTACTCGGCCCGTGGTGTCTTGTTACAGCAGCCCACGCAGACTAATACATCACCTCTGGGCATCTTTAAAGTGCGTTATCTCCTTTGCGCTTCAGCGCCTTTACCTAAGACACCGGGCACCAGAGTGCTAGTGAGGCTTACAGTGCTTGAAGACTTTTCGCCCAAAGAGCAAACACAAAGCACCTCCATCTGGACAGGCTGCACTATTTCGGGACCCTTTCAGACAAATTTTGCAGGGAGAAAATGGCACAGGCTTTTAAGATGTCCCAGGTAAAGTCAGAGAAAAAAATTATTTCAGGTCAGGTTAATAAAGAAAAAAGCTCCTGGAGAGATTTTTACCTCAATTTCACTAAACGCAGCTTTAACAAAGTATGTAATTAGCCCCTCCTTCTCGGTACGTCTGCCCTCTCCACCAACATCAAAAACACAGCACACTTGAAACAGTCTCTGCGGTGACCCTGAGGAAGGCAGGCCCATGGCCTGACTCCAACTTTGATCTGTGAGATAACGGGGCACAATCTGGCCTGCAGGTGTTTAATAGTCACAGGCCTACCTGTTCAATTCTGCGTCTCTAGGTTCCTTCTCCTTTCATCTACAGTATAAACCTGTTTTCAGATATCACAAAAAAAAAAAAAAAAAGAAGCTGCCACATCTACACCCAAAACAGCCAGGCCTCACAGTGACCTGTTTCCTGCTATTCTTTTGAAAAAGATGTTGTTTGATACCCTTATACCACTCCCATGTTGTTTTTATTTTTGAAAAACATTAAATAATTGCCGGTAACACCAAAGTCTTTTATGAAGAATAAAACACTCCACGTGTTTTAATTAATGAGAAACAAAGGATGTTGTATTTGGAAAAAGCACAGTGCTTGCCCTGGGAAGAAAGTTAACGCCGGCTTGTTTCTCTGCACTGTCAGTTCTAGCCCTGCGGAAGGCACAGCAGCATTCCCACAGTGACGTGCCGGGCGCGGACGGGGTCCTTGACACATAAGAAGCAGGAAAGAAGTAGGAGAGGATGACCAGAAGCCTGAAGTAATCACTCAGTGAACACAGTCGTTCACAGTGATAACTGTGACTGTGAACAAATCTCCCTAGACGACATGCATCACCGAAGCTTCTCTAGTACGGAGAGAGAAGACGTTTGGGCTGGAAGCTCTAGAGAAAAATCTGCAGCAGTCATTCTGCAACAGAAGGCAGGGAGGAATTTACCGCAGCATAATGCAACGGCACAGCCCATTGGCAAGGACATTCAGGGCACCACGAGGCAGGGCAGCTGCCCACACAGGTAGAAGATGAGGACTAATTAGAGGGAAAGGCTAAAGAAGTTGTTGGGGTAGCCCTGGGAGGTCCTGAGTGCCACGAGAAGGATTAGGAGCAGCATTCTGCACTCAGGACCAGCACCTTGGAGCTGAGTAGCTTGAGTCATGTGTCCCCACATCCAGCAGCCTTGCTTATATACAACAGGACCCTGGTAAAGATCCTACCTGGTCTTCAGAATGACAACTCCGCTGACAGAGCATAGGATGGCAGAGCACAGAAGACAGAAAACTGCAGCAGCAAGAATGGTTAAGGGTCTCCCTTGAGAATTTGTTGTACCTACAAAGATAAAATGACAAAGCAGGCATTAAAAGTCATGATCTTAAAAAAAATGCTATTTTTACAAAAGAACATGTTTAGAATATTTTTAAAAAATCAGAAAACTAAACTGGTATTTCCAATTTTTTTACATCATTCAAAATAAATGAGAAAAAATATAGTAGTAATAAGCACACACATGGAAGCCCCATTTCCAAGCTGACAATACGAGAAGCTTCGTGGCTCCATTCGTGCACCCTCTGAGGTTTCACACTGCTTCATGCCGTGGAAGAAACAGACTTCACAAACATATCTCAGCCAACTCAGAAAACAAGTAAGCAAGCAAATAACAACAAACCCAGAGAGCAGGGAAGGGAATCAGTAGCCAGAGCAGCTATAATGTATTTCCTAAAACATTTAGTTTTCAACGACAACAACAACATTATGAGAAGCGCGAAGGAACAGAAATGTGCGACACAGACTCGGGCAAAAAATCAAGCAGCAGAAACTGCCTTTGAGAAGGACCAGATGCCAGATTTAATAGACAAACACTTCAAATATTGCCACTGAGAAATTTTTCAAAAATTAAAGTAAATCTTGCTTAGAGAAGTAAAGCCCGATATGAAGACACTGTTCCATCAAGTAGAGACACCAATAAAGACCCAAAAAATATAAAAAGGACCAAACGGAAATTTTGGAATTGAAAAGTGGTATAAATAAAAAGAAAATTCACTGGAGGAGCTCAGTTGTAGATTCGAACTGAGAAGAGGAACAATCAACAACCTTGAAAACATGTAAGTGAATAGACTGTACAACCTGAGAGACAGAGACAAAACAGAATGAAGAAAAACAGACAGAGCCTCAGAGAAGTGGGGGACACCACTGAGCACACCAAAATACACGTGACAGGAGCATCAGGAAAGAGGAGGTAGAGAAAAGAACAGCAAAATTACTTTTTACATGGCTGACAACGTCCCAAATCTGCTGGAAAACATTAATCTACACATCCAAGAAGATCAGCAAGCTCCAAATAGGATAAATCATAGTAAAAATGCTAAAAACCAAAGGTAAAGAGAAAGTTCCGGAGCAGCAAGCTGAAGTCGACCGAAGATGCATGCTGAATGTGATCATCTGAAAGAGGAAGAGGGATGGATGCTGTTTAAGTTATTGTTAATGGTTTTCTTTATTTTCTAAGTTTTCCAATTTAGCATGTATTACTTTTGAATAAAAATGTTGTTAAAATGCATTATTAAAGTAAAATAAATGAACAGACTCAGTATTCTGAATGAGCGACGGAGAGACGGTGGTTGGCTGGGCTAGAGAACGAAGCTGCTGAGAAGACTGGGTTTCTGTTCTTTTCAGTCTGATCGGTTATACTAAGGCCAAGTGGTAGTGTGCTGTGTTTTCTTGATCTGACTGATACCTGTCCAATTGCTACTAACTTTCCTAGATTTGGGGGGTAAGATCTACATCATATACTTGAATTATATCATGCTAACAATAAAAGTCAGCTAGTCAAAATAAAATCAGTAAAGATGATGATGCTGGATGAAAGGAAATATAAACCAGACGATGTTTAGAAAGGTAAATGGCATTGACCTTATGAACCTCTCTGGCTTGCTCGTGCAGTGTCCACATGAAGGTAGATCCCTATTAACCCATCTCTGACGCCTTCCTCCGGGAGCTTACACAGCAATTACTGCATCAGCACCACCACTGTGCTCACCCTCCCCGTGGAAGCTCAGTTTAAGGCGCCCCAATTTTCACCTACACTAATTTTCGACTTAGGCCTTGTGATTCTTGACTTGTGTTGCTGTAATCGTTTTAATTACTCAGATGATTGGCTCAGAAGATAAATCATTCCAATTAGGAGTCTGGGATTAACAGATACACACTACTATATATAAAATAAACAACAAGGACCTACTGTATAGCACAAAGAACTATATTCAATTCTTGCAAAAAAGAATCTGAAAATATGTATGTATATGTGTAACTGAAACGCTTTGCTGTGCACCCGAAACTAACACTGTAAATCAACTACACTTCAAGAAAAAACAAAATTAAAAAAAAATAAATCCTATCAGGCATTATTTCATCAGGTTCTTCACACTAAGAAAGAACATAAATATTCTCTGGTATTGTTGCAAAATGTTCCCATTTTTCCACAAAGAATGAAATCTCAAGCGCCTAAAAGAAAAACTGAGTAGTCACAGACATCACTGCTCCCTTCTGTCCTGGGTTCTGCCCCTCCCCACCCCAGACCTGTAAGTCCCCCTTGGGGACTCCAACACAGCTCTGCGAATCAGGTTCAAGGGCTTGGAAAATCTAAGGAATTTCGCACGCAGCTGTAGATGAGCGTGTGCAGATGAGAAAGGTTTATTTGTATGTGAGACATTCCATGGTTTTCATTTGATTCTCAAAAATATCATATAAAAAAGGTCAAGAATTACAGCTCTAAACTGACCTCAGTTCTTGGTTATTTCTTCTCTTGGGCTCAAATTAAATTGTTTTGCAGTTCCTCAATACACACAAAGTGGCAGTCTAAGAAAGGTCAAGAATTCCTCAGTGACTCAAGAGGAGTGAGTCAATGAGATATAAAATAATCCACTAAAATGGTTCAATGGATAGTCTACATTTAAAGGGCTAGCAATTCAAGAAACCGATTTCAATAGGGTCAATCAGCAATGTATAGATTTAAACACAGGGCTAATTTCTTTTCAAAACTTTCTTTTTGTTTAAGGAAAACCTTAATCGAAGGGTATTGGTCAGGGTCGTCTGCACAAAGTAGGAAAGAATGTTCCAAATATGAGGGGATGACGTCAAAGGAACCGACGGGGTGGAAACAGCAAGAGAACTAGAACTAGAAGCAGCGCCTGAAGACGGGACGGAAGGGCCGGGTCTCAGTGATGAAAACGCCACGGGTGAGGTCTTGCTTCCTGAAGGAGCAAAGAAAGTGGTTTCTTGAGATAGAATCTATTCCTGCTGAAGACACTGAGGAGATCGCTGAAATGACAAGAAAGGATTTAGAAATACTACATAGATTTTGTTGATAAAGCAGTGGGAGAGTTTGAGAGGACGGATTCCAGTTTCGAAAGAAGTCCTACTGCGGGTGAAATGCTGTCAAACAGCTTTGCGTGGTACAGAGAAAACGCTCATGAAAGGAAGAGCTCATCGATGTGACGGACTGCGCTGCTGTCTTATTTCAAGAAATTGCCACAGCCACCCCAGCCTACAGCGACCACCACTCTGACCAGTCAGCGCCCATCAGCATCGATGCAAGACCCTCCGATCCTGGTGAGTATGTACATTTTTTAGACATAACGCTATTATTGAGCCTTAACAGACTACAGTGTAGTGTAAGCATAACTCACATGCAGCGGGAAAGGAAACACTTTGTGTGACTCACTTTATTGTGATATCTGGAACCAAACCCACCAAATCTCCAGGGTACGCCTGTAATCCCACTCGTGAGGGCTCGGTCCTCAAGACCAAATCATCTCTGAAGGAGCTTACCTTCAAATACCTTCACATCAGAGATTCGGTTTCAACATGTGGATGGGGGAAGGGAAGGGACACACACATTCAGACGACAGCTCTCACCAAGAAGAAAGGGGCACAGCAGGAGGAGACGGGTAACGTTCCTTACTTCCTCCGCACGCCTCGGGCCCACCCTAGTCTCTGTGACTGCCCTCTAGGTTCCTCATTTGTCTGAGCTTGACTTGCTTATATTCATAAACACATCAAAGCATTTAGAAATACACAATGGATGAATTTCTTACTCAGAAAAAATCCTAAAATCAATTTGACTTTCCTTTTGGTTTTATGGGAGAAATTTAATTGTCTTTGTTGGATGTTCAAACATCAAACATAAAGCTTTCTGCACCACGGTTTTCTACCTTGAGAGCCAGAGTCCCTGAAGGCGATCCTCGTCCTCTAGGAACAGCTAATACTATAACCAAACCCTCAGCAGCACAGCTCCATGCTCTGCAGCCACTTGCGTACTTGAACTTCTCCTCTTAATGGTTCAGAATTGCTGCTTTGAGGACAGTGAATGACTGTCATCGTGTGTTACGACATTTCCTCCCTTGATTTGCTCATTATGAATTTGGCTTTATTTTTGGTCTTTGCAGATGTTTTACTTCTCTCCATTTTCCCTCATCATTTGTCCTAAGCTTAAGCCATTCTATTTTTCTCTTGGTACATCTGTCACCTGTGATTCTTCTTTTTCTCATGTTCAAGTCTCAGCTCCCTAACCGGCGTCTTTCCTGCCTTGGTCATGAGCTTTGATACTCACAAGAAACTTCAGGCAGTTTCTCTTTTGTTGTCTGAAGGCAGTCAAATTCTTGTATTTTACCAAAATGCACAGTCACGGTTAAGAAAGTCTAGAAGGAAGTCTGTGAAACTGTGCCTGTTTCATCCTTTTAAGGGTTATCCTGTCTGGTGTTTTTGGGAGGTTTCATCTTTTCCAGTTTGACAATATCCAGAGAAATGTCCCCATTCCCTAACATGCCTGCCAAGCCTGCAGGAGCTCAGGAAGTACCTGCTGACTAGCCCACTGGTTCTTTAAAAGCACCCACAGTAAGAGAAAATTCACCTTGACGTCTGACGCAAAACCCTCTTTGCTTCAACACTCGACGACCTTCCGTGGTCTCTTTCACACTCACCTCGTACCTGGAGCTCTATCCCCACTGTCTCGTTCTCCTTGGTTTTTGTTAAGTGCTTGTCTCATAACCTCATGATATAATTGACATGCTTTTACTTTTTATTCTTACGCTGTCCTTTGTTCTAAAGACCTATCTTTGTATACTGTAATACCTCTGGTTCCCAGAAAATCAGCTTATATGCTAACATTGCATGGGGTGGGAAGTGCAGTCTTTAGGAAGAGACAGAGAAAGTAAAGCAGGGAAGGAGGGAGAGCAGACAGGAAGGGAAGTATTACTCATCAGACCGTCACGCGGCAGCAAGTTGAGGCATTTGCTCAGTCACACAGGGTTAACTGTAGGGATGCCAGTTACACG